AAAGCTAAATATAGGGAGGAGAACCAAAAGCCCTAATGTGATATTGTTGTGATTGAATCAATATGGTATGATGAAGGGATATTATGGGCAAAAATTGGGGTATAACACACAGCTCGGGAAAGTCTTCAATACATTATTCCCCTTTTGTGGCTTTGATTTCAGGCATGTTTGGCGCACTAACACGGACAAGTTGTTTCCTTCGGTATCCATTTTTTAAGACAGCCACCAAGATCTTGAGTTTATTATTATTTTTTTATACCCCCTGTGACTAAGAAAAATGTGTGGGTGACGAATATATGAAATGCATGACGAATACATGAAATGTATGAATGTGTAGGTGTAGGGTTGAGTGACAGGAAATAAGTACCCCTATAAGGTAGGGATGTATGGTTTAGTGACGGGTTTTTTTTTATAAGTACCTTTAGAAGGTAGGCTCATTAATTTTGACCTATGGTTAGTATACCCTCCCAAAATGTGGTTTCCTTAAGGGTGTCATGAATAACACCAGAGGGAGAAGGCACAAGGGTCTCCCTTAGGTGGAGCCTCTTTATGGACCTAGACTTCTGTCTCAAAGTCATGAAAGGTCTCGTCATGAGATTTTAGGTTATGGTCGTTACAAATAGTCATGGGTGTCCTTCAAAAGTCCTACCCGCCAAGAGGAAATCTCACGGGTAAAGACTAGGTCAGGGCAGGTCAAACATAACTCAAAATCATGGGTCTGCCTGAAAGTACTACCGCCTTACCCACAGACGTGGGTATCAATAGTAATTCATTTGAACCTCATCTGAGCATGGTATATGACATGACTGCACTAATCGGAACACGTCCTATAGCTGTCATGTCCACACTTTATTCCTAGTGTCCTACTGCACTCTGGCTAGGTACTAGGCCTTTTACCTTAATAGTAACACTCGCCCAACATGGAAAACCAGAATCTAGCACAGCAGATAACCAATATGGAAAGCAATAAAATGAAATGCAAACATATTCTCAGGTAATATGTACAAATTAATAAGTTGAAAGCATAAAAATAAACACCCAAAGAGTAGAAAACAAGAGCTAGGATCGACTCCGGGATGGACCAGCAATAGGTCAACATTTCCCCGGTGAAGTCGCCAACTGTAACAACCGGCTGAACAAATCATCGAGATGAAATCAATGAACTCAACATCAAACATTTTTTATCCCACGAGAAGGGAAAGGTAAACATCAAGTAAACCTAAGAAGGGTGAGATCACGATCAAATAATCGAGAGATAGGGTAAGGGAGTCTGTTACGCGAGAGGAAGGTATTAGCATCTCACACGCCCTTAGTACTCTATGGTATCCACTCTTGTTGTTCTAATCAAAGGGAGGGTTTCAAATCTAAGCTATACAGAGAGTGCATGCAAAAGAAAAGAGAAAACAATGTAGGGAAAAATAAAGTTGTGCTCGCTCGGGCCCTACCCCAATGCCTACGTATCCCTTTTAAGGAATCAGAGCAACCGTAGTTTGGCTCATATGTTTTGGTTTGGTTTGTCTTTTTAGTGAACAGTGTTAAATTCAATCATTCCACCTCTGCTCGACCATTGGAGACTCGCGCATCTGTAGTGGAAAGGAAATAACATGCTCTCACCTAAATAGTTATTTTCAAAAGGAAAGGTTCCCGAAGGTGGATGATGTTACATTCGCGACTCTTAGACAGTAGACATGATGCAACCTGACCTTGGGGAATTACGCGTCGTATTTCATAGAATAGGAAAATAACACATCCTTTTCAAGTTCCGAAGAAAGGCCCGAAGGCGGAAAAAGTTTGTATTGGTTGATATTTTTTACCTTGAAGAAGGATTTGGAAGTTCTTATATGTTTTATGCATTTTCCAAGAAAAGTGTTTTAGTCTTAAATGCAAGGATGCAAAAGAAAGAAAAATATATAAGGGAGACTATCTAGTTCTATCTCTAATGTTATCATACAATGATTGATCCTGAGGTTGAGGATGAAAAGGGAAATCTCTACCCTATGTTGACATGCATGGATTACAATCCTAATGTCTGCTTGCAAGCTACTCTAATTGAGAGATCATAAGGGAGCAAACAAATTCTTATTCTAAGGGAACATGGTATGTACAAGGATAAAAAACAAGCAATCTCAAAAGAGCACACACATGCCACGAGTAGCGCATGCTAACTCGGGTAAATGCCTAACCAAGATATAACTGATTGAGGTAGGTACAAAATATAATAGGGATGCTTTAGCCAAGGGGTCATATCAACCGAGGTAAACAAGCGGGGAAGGGATAGAAGAAAAAAGAATGAAGCATCAACGTCGATCAACGTGAGCTCAAGACAAAATGTGGGGGATTAATTACATATCCCTTTTCCACTTGACGACTCGATAACAAGATCTGCACGACTCTGAAGCATCAATGCACGACGTGAGCTAAGGATGACACGAACTAGAATGTGTGGGGGTCGATTACAGACCCTCCTCGCTTGCCTCCTTTTGAGGACTTATCATTTGTAATATAATGCGGGAACAAATGTAAACACACGTGCGGAATACCTACTTCAAAGTTAGGATTTTAAACAACCATAATTAGCATACAGAAAGTGGTGCCTGCTATAGGACTTTAAACAGCGACTTCGAGCGCACGCTCTTTATTTCATGCTTCCTACCTCACATGATTTCTAGAAAGCGGTAAATTCCCCTAATATACATGATCTCTAGAAAGCGGTAAATTCCGAAATGAGGTAAACGAGAAAAAATGTTGAACTAACAAAAGTTTGTAGCGTCGCGATCAAAAATAGAGAAACCCGGAAAACTTCGAGTAAGCTTCACTAAGCAAATAAAAGAGTCTGAAATTAAATGCCCAGAATAAGCGTCGAAATATCGTCGATGTGAAAATAAATCACAATCGAAATCTCAAGCACATCCGTATATCACACGATAAACCTGTATAAAACTCAAATCTCAACAAGCAAAGGGGAATTACAAATCTCAAGTAATCGGATAATCCCGATTTAATTCCTAAAATCAAATAAGAAAACCTACCAATTTTATATTTGATTTTATTATTTTTATCATGCAAAGAAAAATTCAAACAATTCTAAACAATTAACAAAATTATTTAAAAGGAATTTCTAAAATAATAAACGACAAAAAAAAAATCTCAGGGGGTGCAAACTGAATCCAGAAGTGGCATGCTGAAATATCATGAGTGTTGTAGGCCTATTGAAGAGAAGCCCAGAAGTTCCCTTTTTTTGCTACAAAAACATGCTCAAGAGGGAGGTGCAGAAATGATATGGGGTGTGCTGAAGAAGTCCTGTGCTGAAGGCCCGTTAGGCTGAGTCCATTAGCCAGTTTTTGTTCTCAAGAAAATGTGTTGCCCAAAAATAGGATACGGGCCCGGTAGAGAGGGTGTACATAGAATTCGTGAACTTAGGTCTCATTGGCCCAAACCAATCTCAACATCAAGCATATAATAAAAAAAGAAAATATGAAACGCACGCGTTTTATGAGTCTATTAATGTTCAAAATTGTCTCTTCAAGTTCTTATCAAAGAGAAATTTGCTTCTTCCCTTCCAAACAGCAGCAGCGGTGCATTATCTCTTCACCGATCTACCCTGAGCTCAATGCTATTTCTACCGCTATTTCAACCTTCAATTTCGAAGATGTTCTTCCCCTACATAGCTTCGATTTTTACGAATCAACCTTCTGAGTTCCATCATCATCTTAACAGTGACGATGATGTCTCCATCTTACCCAATCAATACAAAACCTCCATGGATTCATCGTGTTCAATGTGACCTCGTCTTTCTCTCATCATCACTGCATCTCCATGAGATTTAATCCGTTCTCACTTCTGACTTTACCTCTTTGCCTGATTTTGTTTCAAACTCGCTGTTAACTGCTTTACATTCTCGAAAACAAACTCACGCGGTAACCGGAAATAGATGAAGATGAAGAAAGAAAAAGCGCTTACCTACCGGAGAGTGTCGGGTGCATCTCTAAGCGTCTAATAAGGTATGCATTGTCCTTTTCTTTTTCTTCTCTATATTCTGCTCGATCTTCTACATTTTTGTGATTTTCTTATTTCTACGCTTTCTACTGTTGATGTTGAAGTTGTGTGCGTGCAAGGTTGAAGACTGCAAAATCATTAATGATATGAGAAGAAGTGGATTATTGCATTGAAGATTGAGGTTCTATGATGAAGTAGTTGGTTCAACATTGTTGATAATGATGTTGTAGGAGCTATGAAGATGATGAAGCAGAAATCAGAGAGAGAGCTTGAAGGTTTGCAGAGAATATTCAAAGAAGCCAACAATTGATGATGAAGATGCGGAAGAGAGGAGCAGAGAGAGTATTTCTCTATGATTTTGTGATTTTTCTGCAGAAGTCAAGAATCTCGATGAAAGTGGTGAGTTATCTATTTTATAATTTTGTTAGAGTTGTTAGAAAATCAGTTAGGTTATTATAAAGTTAGGGGAAGTTCAGAAATTTGTTATGACAGTTAGTTGTTATTTGAGTTAGTTATCAATTTTGAAATTTCTGTTAGGTTAGTTAGTTAGGACCTTTTGAAATCAATTATGGAAAACTGGCCTTCTATTATTGATAGTTAGAGTCAGTTATGTATGGAAGTTAAGAGTTAGTAAATGTTGTTAGTTTAGTTGGTTAGAGGATAGTTGAGAATTGAGAAGTTAGTTCTAAAATTTGTTACAAGTTCTATTTGTAGGTTAGTAAAAAAAATTGGAAAAGTTGGAAATGGTTAGAATGATGGGAACTATTATGGACAGTTAGTATGGTTAGGAAATTAGGAAAATTTAGAATTTTATTGGGGAATCGGTTGTATGAGCTGGAAGATTGTTAGAAGTTTGTTTTTTTTTATTTCTGCTTCTGTCTTTTTCTGATATACTGACAGTTAGACGCTAACTCTTGATTTTCTGCTATTTTCCATTATTTTCCGATTTTTCTGGTTTGAACAAAATGCAGGGTTGGACTGCTAGATAATTGATGCAGGCTAAACTAGTAGCATTTTGCACTGATTTTGGTCTTATTAGGACTGGTGCAGGGCATGTTTGCAGGCTGCTGAACCATTTTTTGATTGAATTTGTGGACCAGTTTTCTGTAGGTTATAGCATAATCTCGGGTTAATTGGTTGGCATCAGGCGGTTTAGAAAGACGATCATGCGCACAAGGCCTGAAGAATGATGGACTTAGCATGAGTTTAGAACACCAGGATATGCTTAGCATAAGTTTTGATGTAACTTAAATTAATTCCCATGATGTAATGTCAAGAATGTTAGACTTGAATGTAGCATGACCTTAAAAACTTGCAAGCGCATTGTTGTAATGAAACTACCTTGAGCTTTATCATTGGAGTTGTAATGATGATATAAGATGAATGATGATGATGAATTGTAAACATAATCATACTGAACTTTGTGAAATCTCAAATGAAACCATAGATGTAACGCTTGAAATTTTGAATGAAATTATGGATGCATTTTTATTTGGATGGAATTTTAATGTTTGCCATTTTTGCCATACTATGATTCGCTAGCCACTTGAATTAAAAGCTCCATAAGACTCCCAATCACCTACGAATGATCAAATAATGAATCAACCTTAGGCCTTGAATTGATTGGAACTTGGATCACTTAACCTTTGAATTCCCTTTAATGCATCATCACTTTCACAAACCCGGATTGCTCATGAACACCTCAAAACTTTCAATGATTTACCTCAAGTAAGGATAAAATTCACTAATGAGTAAACTTCACAAGGCATCCCTCTCGTATACCATATGACTAGGGAAACAAAGCCTTACGCATGAGTGATGATAGTTGTGAAGAGATATCCTCTAATTTCTCTAAACTTGTCACATATTGGCCTGAAGAATAGATTCATAGAGCCTATCTGGAAGTCCTCTTGATTAAGGATATGAACCCTAATTCATGAACTTTGGATCTTCAATTAAACAAACCTTACAATAAATTCTATTATAACCAAAAATCAAAAAGCCCTAATTCCACCACTTCAATGCTTAAAGAAAGAATCAGCCTTTATTGGATATATACACCTCAACACTGTGGAAACCCTATAGCACACACCCATTAAGCTTTAAACCTCGTGGTACTTTATGGAAATGTGAATGTATGCTATGAAGATGAGTGCAAAATCCTAATCTATATAAGAGAAAATAAAAGGGCAAATTTTAGGGTACAACAGTTGCTTGCATTGTTAAGATTTTCCGTTGTTGAAACATTACTATGCATTTGGTTTCTTTAATCATGATTTTGGATTTACCTGTTTATAGTCATCCCCAGAGTCATTTTGTTCCCCGGCAATTTATTTTCCTGGTCGAACTCTCTTTTTGGTTTGTTCGTTTTATTTTTTGCTTCCAAAGTGGTGTTATGTGTCACCTATGGAGTTGGTCGTTTGCACTCATAATCATAAGCATTGCATGGCATCTTAGGGCCAAAAATAGGGTTTATTTTGTATTTAAGTATCTTCAATCACGTCGAGACAAATATTTTAACCTTCGTATCTCCGGATAGAAGACACTTAAATAAGAGCAACTGTCATACCCCCAACTTTCCCCCTAAGATCTCTCATTATCTCATATTATCAATACATAAAGATCACACATTAGGGTTGGTTCTCCCTTTCTACTTCATCCTATATTTTAGTTTTCTCTTGAGGGATCACCAAGCACCTTGAGTTATGTATCTTGTACATGTGCTTTTTTAGGTGGATTAACTTTTAACTAACATTAATATATATATATATATATATATATATATATATATATATATATATATATATATATATATATATATATATATATATATATATATATATATATATATATATATATATATATATATATATATATATATATATATATATATATATATATATATATATATATATATATATATATATATATATATATATATATATATTTATATTTATATTTATGTTTCTTTGGATGTTCATATTGTAAGTGATAACACAATTGCATCCATCTCACCATATAACCTAGGGTTTTAAGGGATGGTCCTCAGTCAAATGGTTCTCCAATGGATTTCAAGATCTTAAGCTTCAAGGTTGTGTCTATGATATCAAAGTTTTTGGTTCAAAGAGCTTTCTCACTTTATTTTGGCCAAGTTTTTCTCAAGGTTGGTGGTGGCATTCATCAAGAAGATTCATAGGTTCATGTGTTTACTTCCATGCCTTCTTCAACAAGTTTCATTGAGATTCAAGATCCATCTTTGAATGTGCTTCAATAAAACATCATTTAAAGGTCTAATATGATCCATCATGCTCTATTTTTCATATAAAGTTCAAAAGATTCAAGGTTGATTCAATAAGTTTGACCTAATTGAGCAAGTGCTTGATTTAGTGATCATAAGTGCATAACTCTCTCAATTTTCAATATTTTGAGTTGGTTAATTTTTTCTCTGGGTTCTTATCATCATCTACAACAACTTCTCTTCACATGACAAGATCCAATTGTGTAAGAAAAATCATCAAAAGTTGAAAGGGGTTCCTATAATGTTGAATCCTTTGGGTCTTGGAACTAGATCATACACATCATTTCTGGAAAATTGATTGAGTTCATCTTGCATTGCTAAGATCTAATCATTGTCTTCCAAAGCTTCATCAATAGAAGTTGGCTCAATCAGAGACACCAATCTAAACAATGATTCTTCATTGATTCTGAGAGAGGATCTTGTTCTGATGGGATCTTCTTTTCTTCCAATAACCACGTCTTTTTTATGAGCTAAAGAGATTCTAGGAAACCTTTTCTGAGTGGGTTGATCAGAGATTCTGAGATTATCTAGAGCATTATCAAGAGGATGATCTTCTGAGTCTTCCTTTTCTTATGAGTCTTCCTTTGCTTCTGAGTCTTTCTTTGCTTTAGAAGTTTCAGAGTTTGAGGGATGATCTTTTATACCTATAGAAATATCAATTTGCTTTGGCTGTTGCTGGCCAATCTTATCATCAAACCTGACTTTGATTGATTCTTCAACAATCAGAGTTTATGTGTTGTATACTCTATAGCCTTTTGAGCGTTCAGAATATCCAAGCAGAAAACACTTTTGTGCTTTAGAATCAAACTTTTTCAGATTTTCTTTAGTGTTCCGAATAAAACAAGTACGTCCAAAAGGATGGAAATAAGAAATGTTTGGTTTTTTGTTTTTCCACAATTCATAGGGAGTTTTTTCAAGAATAGGTATTATAGAGATTCTATTCTGAATATAACATGTTGTGTTCACAACTTCTGCCCAAAAGTGCTTAGCCATATTTGTTTCATTGATCATGGTTCTGGCCATTTCTTGTAATGTTCTATTCTTTCGTTCTACAACTCCATTTTGTTGGGGAGTTCTAGGACAAGAGAAATTATGAACAATACCATTTTCTTTAAAATATTTTTCAAATTAATGGTTTTCAAATTCTCCACCATGATCACTTCTGACTTTTATAATTCTAAAATCTTTTTCGTTTTGCACTTGGTTACAGAAGTCAACGAACACAGAATGTGACTCATCCTTGTGTTTTAAAAACCTAACCCATGTCCATCTACTGAAGTCATCAACAATGACCAATCCATACTTCTTGCCTCTGATGGATGCAGTTTTAACTGGCCCAAATAGATCAATATGAAGTAGTTCTAATGGCCTAGAGGAAGAAACAACATTTTTGGATTTAAAGGAAGGTTTTGAAAATTTTCCTTTTTGCCATGCTTCGCACAGAGCTTCTGAGTTGTACTTCAGATTGGGAAGTCCTCTGACTAAATTTAATTTATTTAGTTGAGAGATTTTTCTTAAGCTGACATGTCCTAATCTTCTGTGCCATACCCATTGCTCATCGCTAACAGACAAAAGGCATTTAACATTATGAGATTTAAGATATAATAAATCAATTTTGTATATGTTGTTCTTTCTCTTTCCAGAAAAGAGGATTGATCCATCTTTTTGACTAACAGCTCTACAGGAATTTTGATTAAAGATAATGTCATAACCGTTGTCACTTAATTGACTTATGGACAGCAGGTTATGCACTAATCCTTCTACTAATAACACATTAGAGATAGAAGGAAGGTTACCATTTCCAATGGTTCCAGAACCAATAATCTTCCCTTTCTGATTACCTCCAAACTTGACGTCTCCTCCAGCTTTAAATTCCAGGTTTTGGAACATAGACTTTCTTCCCGTCATGTGTCGTGAGCACCCAGAGTCCAGGTACCATGACTGGTGTCTCAATTGAGTTGTTAAGGACATCTGCAACAAATATTATTTTATCCTTAGGTACCCATATCTTTTTGGGTCCTCTTGGGTTAGAGTATTTAAAGTTCTGTTTGAACTTTGGATTAGCATAAGAGTTTCCAGAATGTGATGTATATTTTATATCATGTGTGTGTCCAAACTTGAATTGTTTGTTCAGAGGTTTATAAGTGAAAGTCATCTTAGCAACAGGTTTTGGTATATATGTCTCCTTCCCTTTATGAGGTTCATATCCAATTCCTCTTCTGTTTTTCCCACTAACTCCATAGATCATTGAAGCCATTTTGCTTCTATCTATGCTTTTAGCAAGAAACGTTTGAAAGCTACAGTCATATTCTTTCAGAATATCTTTTGAACTTGACACAGAATCTGAACTAGAAATTTTTTGAACATTTTGAATTTCTTCTTTAAGTTTAAAATTATTTTCTTTGAGTTCATATTTTTCTGTTTCATGTTTCTCAAGATCAGATGCAAGACTCTTCTTGAGTTTCTTGTATTTGATTTTGAGCTTACTATAGTTTTCCAGAAGTTTTGATAAACTTTCAGCAAGTTCATCTCTAGTAAATTCAGAGAATACCTCTTTTGGGTCTGACTCACAGTCTGAGTCATCTGCTGTGGTAGCCATTAGAGCTAGGTTGGCGTTCTCGTCTTCAGAATCATATTCATCTTCAGAGGATTCTGAATCGTCCCAGGTTGACATCATCCCTTTCTTTCTATCAAACTTTTTCTTTGGTTTTTCTCTTTGGAGTTTTGGACAATCACTCTTGTATTGTCCAGGTTTTTTGCATTCATAACAGACTATCTCTCTTCTTTTTGACTTTTTTGTGTCCAGAAGATTCTGGTTTATCTTCTGGCTTCTTGAAGTTCCTGAACTTCTTCTGTCTGTGCTTCCACAGCTGATTCATCCTTCTGGAGAGCAAGGATAGTTCGTCTTCTTCTGACGCAGATTCTTCAGAGTTT